TCGTAGTAAACGAGAACACGCGGCAAGTTTTACACTGTGACTCCATGCTGAAAATGAGTCAATACCAACCTTTTTCCCGCATAATCCAGTCTCTAGACGCCAACTGTTAACCATGGTAACGGTTTTTTTTCTCTAAATTGTCGATAGACACGATCTACGAGCAAAGCTACGTTGATGCGGGGCTAAAGCAAGTTAAACTCCGATGCCCAAAAAACTCGGCCTGTGAAGGATTTTATCCTGATATCATAAAAAATTCTAAAATTATATTAAAAGAAGAGAAAAAAAGGGAGAATTAGAGATCTTGGTGCTACCAGTGGTATAATTTTCAGTCTAAAATTGAAATTTTCTCTTGCAGAAACATTGTTTGCTGACATACAATGGATCGTCCGAAGCAGACGGAGTTTTCGCGGTAGCATTAACTTTAGAAGACTTTCCAGCGGGTACAACAGACTTTGACAGTGTCACACCATTCAGCAGTATCCCATTACAGTTTATTGTCCTGGTGACTGGTAACTATAGTGGTAGTTGCGATAAAAGACCTATCTTTACAGCATCGACCCCTAAAGATGGTGAATGTTCTGACCTCGCAGTTGGCTCTGAGTATAGGGCAGTGATTGAAGTACAGGTTGCAGACTTCTCGAAATCGTAAGTAAACAAAACTCCGAATAACTTGTCATCCTAATACTTTTTTCTTTGCCACTATTTGCACTAACAAGCAAAAGACACTGATACTTATTTCTTAGGATCTCAATAGGCAGTTAGGTTACATCCAGTACATCAGTAATAATTAAAAGTTTGAGGTTTAAACCTCCAATACCTGACCTGATGTAAAATTGACATCTGTTTTTATTATGTTGTTCTCCAATTTTGCGTCATTTTATGCTACCAAAAACTAGGTCACGAGGCTAGTTGTTACAAAAATCTTTAGGTAAGACCTTACTGAGATACGATTTTCGGTAGTTCGGTAGATTACACATGAGCGGAGTGATCAACTGCTCTACAATGGATCGGAAGGGAGGAAAGACCGAAATGTTTCTGATTGTTTCTAGTGCCATCTTACTTTCTTTAATTTATGTGTTATAAGGAGAAAGATGGTATCTCCAGTGAACATGGTGGGGGTATCAAATTTGATTAACAGAATATAGATTTCATTATTCAAATCATCAAAATCATATATATTCTTTTTTCCAATCCTTTTAGCATCGTGGAAATACCTACTGCTTCTCCATCTGGAATGCAATTTACTTCCTTGCGCAATAATGAACTTATCTACTACAAAAATGTCACGTGGTATCCTCATCAGCATCAAATTGGACAACAGCTGTTCTGCTTTAAGGCAGTAGACTCCTCAGGGTAGGAATGGTAGCTGTTACTTACAGAAACACAAAAAAATACTTCAATTGAATGGTTTACCGTTTTCAGCTTTCAATTCTGAATTGTGTCATAAGTTACTTTCAAGAGCAAAATTTAGGCATTTACGTTTCATGAAAGTTAAGGGATAAGGAGAGAGTTTTCCTTGAATCGTTTATAATTTTTTTCGTGTGTGGTTTTTATCATACCAGAGGTTTCTCTTGATTTTTCTCCCCATGAGAGAGCAGCGAGAGAGCCGCGAAAGCGGCGAACACGAGTCGCGAAGCGGCAAGAAAGAAAAACCTCTGGTTACCTTGGACTTGAATCTACCCCTAGCTCAAAGAAAATAATTCTTTAATCAAAGTTACTGAAGTCTAAACCACTGGAGGATCTATTCTATCATTTATCATAATAGCTTTTACACCCTCAGCGTCTCATATCAAGTATTTTTCACAGACTGGAAAGTGATTGGCGATGTGTGACAATTCTTGTTGGTACTAGTAAGTACATCACATACTCTTGACAGACAAGAACAAGAAAATGTTATGACACTCTCTATACCATATTCAGTAGTTCTAAATACACTAGAGGAAAAAGGTAAAGGTAAACACACAAATGAACATTCTTCGTCTTTTCGAAAATCTCAGATAGACTCCTAACTTATCGTCCAAAGTCTCCGAGGTAGGTCAAGAATTGCACGTGAAAATCGACGTCTTGAAATTGATAAATTTTGCTATTGTAATGATACAAAAGAGACTGGAGCAATTGAATTTTAAAAAGATTCGATTCTCGAAAGTAATGTCTACCTTAAATTAACACTGAAATTGTATCCTATCCCAAACCATTTAATCCCAAAAAGATCTTATCATGAAATCATGTTTTTACAAGGCTCTTGGGAAGCAAACCTTTTACGACTGATCAATACTCCATCTGTACTAAAGGGAAGATTTTTTTCGATGGTAGTTTGGAATTCAAGTTCAGTTTTCAGTTTAACCTCGAAAGGTCCGTCCGATTAATATCACCAGAGGAGAGCAAAATAAACTTTTTACCCAAAAGATTATCTAATATAGATCTAGTAAATCATATTGTTAAACATAAACAGAAGTTCAAAAACTAATTTACTCGGCTGTTAATCAAACAAATATTTTCCAGGCAGGACTCCACGAGTTATTTTGGCGAGTCGCACACCCAAAAATCCCATCAGTAGATATGGACCGGGATATTCACACTGGAGCATTCAGTTTGATCGATCGGTAAGTACAAAGAAAAGGCTCCTTGACTTTACATTTTGATTTGAGATGTGTGGGAAGGCAGAGGGATTGGTAAGGATTGGTACAATAGTCTAAAAAAAGGTATGGAATTATTGGTAGCAAGTACTCCGGCTCTTTTTCAGGTCATTAAAATTTTTCCATAGAAGTTGGGTATGGTCAAAGTGATCCATATTCTGGGCTTTTTTCGGAAAAATGCTTTCATTTTAACTTTCTCAACGAAATGACAATCCCGATATATTATCAAAAATTTATCTTGCATTACTTACACAGTTTACTGGCTTCCACTCACGATTTGACTTTTAGAAGATAAACAAATAGTGTGATTCGGGGCTTTTCCTTTGTTATTATTACTCATGTTGCCGTAATTCAGTTCATTGGTAGATCACAGAAGTGATCAAAATGCGTTATGGTGTTCAAATGACGGTGCCTCCCACCACTGTGACCTATTTCAGCTGCTGAACCTGACGTCATCTGTGGGTTGAGTTCCTTGTCGTTGTTCTTGTTTACGGCTGAAGTTGTTGTAATGGCATTTGTTACAGATTAAAAAGGCCCAAAGATCGTCTTACATAAAACTAGTCTCGCTGCCCACTGGACAAACAGTCTACAAAGTGGACGCACTCTCTCAAAACGTTACAATCGGTAGTAATTCTACCACTCTTCATTTTGCAATACCTTATCCTATGTTGAGCATGGATGGATTATACGCAATCTTAATAGAAAAAGGAGTAGTACTTGGACATGGCTGTTCTTCAGGCGGTACACCCACACCCGGAATATCATCGATGAGTGACTGGCGATTCTACGTCTATGGAGTTTGCTCCTCTGGATATTCTCTCGGGTCACCATATTTTTATAGCTGTGCTGGTACGCGAAATGTTAGAATTATTAGTTTCTAAAACGATAAACTGATGGAGACTGCGAATTTTAATTTTTCTTACAAATATCTTTAATAAGAGCCTCTGTAAACCTGGCTTTACTTTATTCTTCTAGCTGCGTTAGTGCATAAGCTTCCGCATTCCCAGCCTGGAAGTCTAGCTAAACAGTACAAACTAGCTTTTCAGAATTCTGAGGATTCATAACATAAGCATATTTATTCCCCAGCCAGAGCTGAGATGTGGTCCATCCATCTATTTATTTATCCATCTGACAATCAGTCTGTTTTAACAATCTCTGAGTGGTTCCACAATCAGTCAGTCATATTTACTTTTTCCGTTAGATATAAACGAATGCTCCTACTCAAGTTCCAGTGGTGAGTTACTGCATATTCCCTGTAATAATTACTTACCTTTGTAATTGTCTATATTTTGACTCGTTACAGTTTTAGACTCATCAGCTTTGAAGTTCATAAATAATTTTCTAGCCCTAAAAAGTCTTGGAAATAATGCGGGTCTCAGAAAACAAAGGCGAACCACCTGCGTTTTATATTCGTCGTTATAGGTTTTAAAAACCATCCACTGCTTTATTGCTATATATTTTCCTTGAGTGAACTATAGCAATTTTCTCCTTTAGTGCATTCGAACGCTACAACCCAGTCACAAATCCAGGGGTTCAAGTTACCTGCAGACTGTGACCAAGTCTGTAACAACACTCCTGGAAATTACAGCTGTTCCTGTGTAACCGGATATCAATTGCAGTCGAATGGAAAATCTTGTAAAGGTAAGAAACACAAAAGGATAGACTTGTTCAATATTCGTATTCTAACTGCATTTTTATCGAACAAGTTTTAGAATTGTATTGCTTTCTGTTTTTTTTCCTTATAAACGTAATTAACACAATATTTGTTTTTTCTCGTGTTCTGTTACCAAAGGAATTAGCATGAGTTTAACAGCCGGGCTTTCCCTTAATTTTTGTACATGGCTACGGAAATTCGAGTCAAATGGATTAGCAGAACAGATTTATCTTCCTGAAAGGGATATAATCCATCTCTCTTAGGCTCACCACAGGAAATTGATCTTATCACTGCAAATTTACGCTTCCTACTAAATTTTTATGCCCATATATGTAATTATCCGAGCAGTCACATGCTTTTACGCCTGTTTTTTTCGGTAAATAACAAAAGAACTCTTCTATGTCGCTTAATGCGAAAAGTAGAGCTAGAACAATAGACCATTTGTTAATAAGCAATCCATCACGTGTCCTTGAAAGTCGATCTAGCTGGATCCATTCAATTTCAAAGTTATGCTGATGAAAGGCAAGGCAAGTGTGATATGTCTTTCCTAAGAATACAACACAACGATCCATCAAGCGATCAGACCCGAACCATTTGATCAAGAGTCTAGCGTGCTAACCACTTTACAACTGCACACGCACCCCTAAGTAAAGTCTTGTTAAACTACATCAGACCCGAACCATTTGATCAAGAGTCTAGCGTGCTAACCACTTTACAACTGCACACGCACCCCTAAGTAAAGTCTTGTTAAACTACATTAGGCTTCGTTATTCGATAGTTTTTATACTATTAAATAATTAATTTAAACCGAGATGTTAACGGTTAAACTCTTTTTTAGATATGAACGAATGTTCGGCAGAAAATGGGGGCTGCAGTCATCTTTGCTTCAACATCCCTGGATCATTTTACTGTGCATGCCCCGAAGGATTTTCTATGAGTGGAAACAATTTGACTTGTGTCGGTAAGTAATGGGCGAACTTACAAATGGGTAACTAAAAAAGCAAGGTGACATTCATTTTTCAAAAAAAAAAAATAATCAGAAATGATTACGCTGAATGTTTTAAAATCGTCTTCCGATCTCCTTGTTTCATATTTTATATCTCTCAGGTGTCAGTTATGTGAGGAAATAACGTGTTTGAAATTTGTTACGAGTGTGGATAGAAAAAACCTGATTATCCCGTTAGGATTCGAATGCCATCCATTTCCAAGGATGCTCAGGGTAGCATACTATTATCTTCCGCTTAAAAGCCCTGGTCTTATTCAACTTCGTAAGAGGTTTTAGGAGGGCTTATAAACGGAGGGGTACATCCGAGGAGCTAGTACCCGGAATAGAAAAAGCGCTTAGAAACGAGCTATAGAAGTGCTGATCATAAACCGTTTTGCAGTTACTGGTTTTTCAATAAGCTTCAAAACGTCAATACATTTGGAGCAAAATTAAAACTAACAGGTAGACCCGTCACCGGAAGGCCTAGGGGCGGGTTTAAAAGCTATGGGGCTTATGAGCTGCAGTTTACGGTACATTTGATCTGGAGATAAACAGCAAAAAGACAATCAATTTTAACTCGATCGTTGAAAATAAAAAAAAAAAACATATTAAATGTTTGTAACGAGTCTTTGTTATTTTGAAATAATGACAGAAAGCCCTGCCTTATTTTAGACCAAAGCGCAAGTGTTTCATGTGGGGAGAACAAAATGACGGTGTATTTGGAAAAGGGAAGATTTCACTACCTTGCAGCCAATCAACTACGCTTGCGCTATGCCTCGTGTCGAGCCACCGAAAACTCCACCCACTTTTTGATCAGCACCTCTTTAAATAGATGTGGAACCCAGCGGAACGAAACCGAGGAATTTCTAACCTTTTGGAATGAGGTCCTAGTGGATGCTAAGGTGATCGATAATGTGGTTACCCGCACACATGATATAAAACTGCCATATCATTGCATTTACTCCAGAAAGAACTTGATGAGCCGGGCGTTCACACCTCAAAGGATTTACGTCGGGAAAGAAAGTGAGTTAAATGATATAGGACATTTTAAGATGTCGATGTATTAAACACCACAATAATGATTGGTCAAGCTAAGCTTGCAAATGAGTTCCTTAAAACAAATAAATTGGAGATTTAGCAGTGGACACTCCATCGGGTGGCTCTTCCTGTCCACTGTTTCCAGGTCAAAGTAGAATTTGGAATGTTGGTTTTTCATTGAGAAGGGAGCAAAACCGGTGGATTCGGAGAAAAAACCCTTGAAGCAAGGACGAGAAGAGCCAACAACTGACTCGCTCAACCCACATGTGGCACCGGTTCTGGGAAGCGAACCCGAGAAGGCGAGTGATCTCACCAATGTACCATCCCTGCTCTCCGTAAACGTGAGGCGGGTAAGAGTACCAACATTCACTCTCTACGGGAGGCCAGTCCATTACAGGTTAATCGTCGGCAGTTGATCAAGTTTCCCTTAAGGTGCGCCATAACCCATTCAGACACGCGGATGGAGGGCTTTGTTAGAGTGTGTGCCTTAACCAGGGCTTCAAGGAAGACTCGTACTTTGTGTTATGATAAAAAATGAGTTTGGCCTAACTTACTTTTTTCAATTTCCATTGTTTAGTGGGATATGGTACTTTCACTTTCAAGATGGACTTTTATCACAATTCGACGTTTGCCACGCCTTACACAAAGCAGGAATACCCTATAATCGTAACTCTCGATGAGTATGTGTATTTGCAGTTCGATGTGGAGTCCTCAGCTGACCTAGTTATCATGGCTGAGAACTGTAAAGCTACCAAAGATGCGAGTTCTTACTCTTGGCCACAGTACGCCTTCCTAGAAAACGGGTAAGTGGATAACAGGCACTGATCGAAAGCGTTAACCCCTGCTCTTTTCTCAACGACATTTGATTTCGTTGTTAAACCAAATGATAACAAGGCGTAATTATTCCAGCCCGTATATCATAGAACTAGTCATAAATAATTCTGGTTTTATTCAACTTATCTGGTGCTGACAAACGACCTTGTCTCTTTCTGTTTCGCTTTTGTTTTCTCTAGTTAAAGCATGCGTAGTCCTGCTAAGGTATCGATCTTTAGTTTTATGAGATTAAATTGATACTATCATAATGATATTTACTATGTAATTCACTTGATTCATTGTCGTTGTTGTTGTTGTTATTTTTAACTTAAAGATGTCCGAAAGATTTAACGCTTGACTACAGTTATGATCCAACGCAAAATTACCAACAATTTAAAATCAGAACGCTTAGATTTTGGAACGACTACGACACTGTGTACCTCCATTGTGAGCTGCTGGCCTGTCATCGTAATTCTATCAATTCCAGGTTGGTCTTATTGTTTTCAATTACATGCGTACACGAGACAATTCGGACTTAGGAAATAGCAAAAACTTGAAATCCAAAGAGTTGCATCCTTCCATCTTAGAGTACCACTATGCCAATAAGTTTGCTTCTTTGCTTGTTTTAAGTCCCGCCCTTTCTTCGCACAAAGGCTCGCATTTGGCCATGATATAGTTTCAACACAGTTGGCGCAATTTGTTGCATCAGTTGTGATAAAGTTTTATCCAGTTTCGTTATCAATATACTCCCCAGAGTTGGCACTCGAGTCAAGAGGCCTAAGCCTTTTCCGACCTGGGGTTCATCCCTCGCCATGTCGGTTTCCGTAGAAATAGGCGAATAGGAGTTGTCCGTCGCAGGTTTCGTCCAAGCCCCTGCCAGCATTCCCTGACAGCTACCAAATAACTACCCTCTGCCCCCTAGTCGAGAAGTGCAACGTGAAAAAAAATTGTATTTACCCAGGAAACAACATTTTTACCGTTATAAAGCTCGAACCAGGACATCATGTTCACTGATGTCAGCGTAGTTACTACTAAAAGCCATCCTATCCCACTAGTATTATTTTGGTTATTGATGGCATATGTTTCTTTAAGAGAGAAACGAAGGGTCACGCAAAGTTAAGCTGATTTTCGTCGTTTGAGATCAGTATATCAGTTGACGTTCACATAGAAATGCACTTTCTATACGTCTGCATTTCTCCATTATTTAGTCATGTGTCAGTCTTCAGTAATGTATGGGCAACTTACTCTTCTGCAGGTGCAGCAAGGGCTGTGTAAAGAGCATGAGAAAGAAGAGGGAAATAAAAGGAGATGGGATAGAGCATGAAGAGAGTACAAAAAAAGTTATTCTCACAAGTGGACCTGTAGTGATCAAAAAATTAAAAGAGGAATCCAAAAGTAGGTTTTCGTAATGGGAATTCATTCAATGTAATTTTATAATCGCATCGATTTCCATCAAACGGTTTTTGTCGATCGAAAGTCACAGTCGATATCAATTAGATTTCGATTTTAATGCTGAATTTACAGCTTCAATTCTTCGAAGCGTAATAGACACCCACACAGTCAGTTTTGAGAACCCTAACTTCCCTCCTCAACGAAACATGCTTTTTCACCACCAATTCTTGGATGGATACGTTTAGTACCTTTAACTGCTCCACGCTGATTCCAGCCTTTGCTCAGCAACCGCACGATAGCAACTCCAACCTCCAAGCCGATCCTTGTTGCTTTTAATGTTTTAGGGCCTTTGCCAAATCTCACCCTCACGGTCGAGATATTTCTGTTCAGCGCTGAAGATCTAAAGAGATCTGGTATATTCTTCTCATTTGATTAGCTGTTGCGAAAAGAACGAATCGAACACGAAAAGCCCTCGATCTTCGGCGCAGACCGAAGCGATCATGTTCTGAGACCTGACTGCATGGTTTGCCCTGCCCGATGGATTAACAAGTGCTCTTATTTAATGCTTATAGATCTCAGAAAAGGTAAACAAACAGCTCTGGTCGGTGGTCTGGTAGGCACTGGAGGATTTGGTCTGGTCGCAGTTGGAGCTCTGGCCGTTTTGTTTATTAAGTATCGCAGGGCACAACGAAATGGAGGACGTATTCTTTAACTTTTTAAAATAGTTGTATCTTTTCGTTTCCCCTCACATGTCAGCGATAAATTTAGAGTAGGATGTTCCCTCCCTTCTTTCATTTATCTCTGAGTAAACCTTGGAATACAGAAGATCTACGCATTTCTCTAAGGAAGTGGATTAGTGACAACTTTATTTATATACGGGGGATAATCTTGAAGAGTATAAACTGATGAACTACTAGCCCTCTTTCCTAATTGTCTAGTAAAAGAGTTTAAAATAATCTAAAAACATACAAGTTTAAAACACATAACTAGAGCTGATTAACATAAGATCCATCTTAACAATTTACGCTAACCAATAATTTTTTCAGGCGCAACAAAGGGAACAAAAGGTGTCTTTATCGCGTATTTCTAGAGAAGTTTATTACGGAGCTTTGTTGCACAAGCTTGAAACGTCCTGCTTTTTTCCCTATCCCTGTTGTAGCACGGGAACAATAGGGACCTTAAGCAAACCGGGACGGCGACAGCAACGAGGACGTGAGAAAACAAAAGATCTAATTGGCAGAACAATAGTTCAGCAAGTGCATTGTAAAACTTAGTACATTTCTTAGCCGTCCTTTACAAAACAACAACGTGAAATCACCAAAATTTGCGTCGTCTGCGAACCGAAACCGCGACGGCAAATTATTTTAATTTCCATTATTTGGAACTCAATGCTACTTTTATACTTTATGTCGAGGTTGAGTTGTGGCGATGTATGAGATAGTAAACACATGCAGCCATTTTCGAAATTTTAACTAAAAGTAGAAATTCATTTTTTAATGGACGTCTTCCTTGGCGTTGCCCTCCTGACTGGTTAAGGTCCCTATTAAGTTATCAACGACCGGCTCTGCAGTGCGACTCTGAGAATTTCTGGGTAGCTCTTTCACGTAACTTAGGTGGTCAGTCTCTCAAATACTCCTTAAGTGGTGTTTATTACTGTGAAGATCGCTTTCGTATTCATTTTTGAAAAGCGCAGTTCACCAGTAAATAATTTTTATATATTCATATTCATTGATTTATGACTTCACGGGTTCATTTAGAACCAACATAGTTACCAGCCTCCAGTTGGCTTGTTAGCTCAGTTGGTAGAGTACTGCACCTGTATCGCGGGCTATACCAAAGTTAAGTACACTTTTATTATACTATTTCTGTAATCAAAGCTGGGGTCATGGGTTCAAATCTCGCACAGGCCTGAATTTTTTCAGGCCATATATTCACTACTGCTTAGGTAGTGTTTATTACTGCGAAGATCGCTTTCATATTCAAACATAACTTTTAACGGTGTTGATTATAGCGTGTGTTGCGTGTTAACTTGGTGAATAATAAAATGCCTTTACGGTATTGTGTAAAAACTTCATCACTGAAATAAGTATACTCCAGATACCATTTGTTTTCCCCCGACGTCAAAAAGTACATAGACAACTTGCTACATTTTAAGATTCTATGTATAGTGACCTAGCCGTTCAATATGATAGTCAGCCGGATTGCACAACAGTCAGTCAGTCAATCAGTCAGGAAGTCAGCCAGTCAGTCAGTCAGTCAGTCAATCAGTCAATCAGTCAATCAGTCAGTCAGTCAATCAGTCAATCAGTCAATCAGTCAATCAGTCAATCAGTCATCAGTCAATCAGTCAGTCAATCAGTCAGGAAGTCAGTAAGTCAGTTAGTCAATCATTCAATCAGTCAATCAGTCAATCAGTGAGTCAATCAGTCAGTCAGTCAGTCAATCGGTCAATCAGTCAGTCAGTCAATCAGTCAATCAGTCAGTCAATGAGTCAGTCAATTAGTCACTCAATCACTCAATCACTCAATCAGTCAGTCAATCAGTCAGTCAGTCAGTCAGTCAGCCAATCAGTCAGTCAAGCAGTCCGGCAGTCAGGTGGTCAAACAGTCAGTCTGTCAATCTGTAACTCAGGAATTCAGTAAGTCACTTACACAATCAGCCAGTCAGAGGGTAAGTCAACCAGTCAGTCAGTAAGCTAGTTTCAAGCACTTCAAAAAATTAAGTCTGTCTGTCATCTATTCTGTGACAGAAATACAGCCAGTCCAGTGAAACTGTTAATCTGTGTGTCTGGGTAAGCTCTATGTTTGCCAATACTCCAATGTCATTGCTCCTGTCAATCTGAGCCCAAATTAAATGAAGGAGAAGGGAACACTTCCTTTTAATTTCCGCCTAAACAACATTGTTTTGTAGGAAAATGCATCAGATTTATGAGTAATCTACCGGCAGTATGTGTAAACTACGGTATTAATATGAAAACACAGCATGTCAGTTTTGTAATTTAATTTTCATTAATTTCTACTAATTATGAAAACTTGATCAACTGCTTGTTGACTTCAAGATACAGTATTGGAAACTCTTTCAAGCTTTCAATCTTTGTGAAAAGTTAACCTGCATTTTTGAGATGAGTTTATTGTTTGAAATACTGACCAGTGGAATTTTCTATCCTATTCATCCTCTACATTCATCTTCTTGTCCATAGTTACCGTCTTACTTTGCATATCTTAATGGTGTCCAAAAGTTAAATGACTTCAATCAGACTGATGTCAATACCCAGGTTAATTTGGCCATACTTAAGCTGTGTCATTTAAAAAAAAATTGAAACATTCAGCGAATTCTCTGAGGATGTGCAATTCAAATAGCACTAACGAGACTGCTTCTATGTAACCAATTTTTTGGGCATCAGCCTTCCATCAGAGCAATAATGACGCCAGACTAATAATTCACATAATCAACTCAATTGATAAACAAGTACCACCAAATTA